ATCCCAGCTACTCAGGAGGCTGAGGCAGGAGAATTGCCTGAACCCAGGAGGCGGAGGTTGCGGTGAGCCGAGATCGCGCCATTGCACTCCAGGCTGGATAACAAGAGCGAAACTCCAAAAAAAAAAAAAAAAATTTAAAAAAAAAAAAACAAAAACATACTAGACATTATAGTGTAGTAAATACATAAGCCATTAACAGTTAAGTATTATAAGCTGTATGTAATTGTGTGTGCTATGCTTTATATGACTGGCAGTGCAGTAGATTTGTTTCAGTATCGCTACAAACGCATGAGTAACGTGTTGCACTATGACATTCCTATGGCTGGGACATCACTAGAGAGTAGGAATTTTTCAGCTCCAGTATCTTTTATTGATACAAAGTATTTTACATGTGTACATGTGAGTATTTGTTACCTGAATAGAATGTGATGATCAGGTCAGGGTACTTGGGGTGTATCACCTTGAGGTACACTTTGAGTGTCATTTCTATGTATTGGTAACACTTCAACTTCTGTCTTCTAGCTATGTTGAAATTAGAGTACATTGTTACTAATATATAATACATAGTCGCCCTACTGTGCGATAGAATATTGGGGCTTATTCTAACTCTAGGTACCCACTAATCAACCTCTCTGCCCACCTCACACACTTCCCAGTCGCTAGTATGTATCATTCTATTCCCTATCACCATGGAATCAATTTTTTTTCTTTTTTCTTCTTTTGGAGATGAAGTCTCACTCTGTCCTCAGGCTGGAGTTCAGTGGTGAAGTCTCGATTCACTCCAACCTCCACCTCCCAGGTTCAAGCAATTTTGTCTCAACCAACCAAGTAGCTGGGATTACAGACAACCACCAGCACGCCTAGCTAATTTTTGTACTTTTAGTAGAGACGGGGTTTCGCCATGATGACCAAGCTAGTCTTGATCTGACATCGGGTGATTTGCCTGCCTCAGCCTCCCAAAATGCTGGGATTACAGGCATGAGCCACTGCACCCAGCCTGGGATCATTTTTTGTTAGCTCCCACGTAAGAGTAAGAACATGTGGCATCTGTCTTTCTGTGCGTGATTTAGTTCACATAACATGCCTCCATTTCCATTTAATGTTGCTGCAAATGACATGATTTCATCCTTTTTTATGGCCAAGTAGTACTCCTTTGTGTATATGTACACATTTTCTTTTCTTTTCTTTTTTTTTTAAAGGCAGGGTCTCTCTCTGTTGCCCAGGCTGGAATGTAGTGGCACCAGCACAGTTCCTGCAACAGACCCAAACTCATGAGGCTTAAGCAGTCTTTCCACCTCAGCCTCCTGAGTAGCTGGGAATACAGGTGTGTGCCACCACACTTGGCTATTTTTTAAATTTTTTGTAGAGATTAGTTATCCCTATGTTGCCTAGGCTGGTCTTGAACTCCAGAACTCAAGCAATCCTCCCTCCTTGGCCTCCCAAAGTGCTGGGTTTATAGGTGTGAACCACCACACCAGACTGCTGCTATTCTCAATAGTACTATGCTAAATGTGCAAATGGAGGCATCCCTTTGATATACAGATGCTTATTCCTTTGGGTAAATACTCAACATTGTGATTGCTATATTCTGCGGTAGTTTTATTCCTAATTTTTTGAGGAATCTCTATGCTATTTTCCACAGTGGTTGTAC